GAAGATGTTTCACCAGTCCTAAGAGTGTCTCTAATAGATTCAGCATGGCGTTTTACCTAAACTCCGGGAGTTTCAAGGTTCCACGACGAGAACTGTGAAAGTTAGGCGCAAACAAGCTTCCCGATTGCACTAGGGCACCTTCCTGCTTCCAAGAAAGCGTAAGAGCTCAAAAAGGAGAGAGAATTTCTGAGAAAAAGATACGTAACTTTGTAGTCCGCAGCACGGCGGATCTAACAGCGTCAAAATCAAGGCTCCATCTCTTCCAGTGGCTGAGTCTATAAGCTTTTCCGGTGCTGTGACGACTTCGTTGGATCACTTCCTGATGATTTTCTGATCCTGGCCAGCGACGCAAAACGAACTTAAAAAAGAGGTTTCTATAGGTAATCGCGGCTGCTGAATCTAATAGAACATGTTTCCGGATCGAAAAACATGCCTGGGAAAAAATAACGAGGGTTTTTCTCGAAAGTTCGATTTTTCGCGTTTCTCGACCTGCCGCAGTATTTTACATTTTCGAGAAGGAAAGAAAGGAATTTCCGAGATTCCAAGGACACCGTTGAACTCAGCGCACTTTTCTCTATCGATCTATGTAGAAAAAATAAGAAAGTGAGATAGTGCTCGAACTTTGAATTACGTGCGCCTTATAGATTTTCATACACATGTTTTATCAAATGCTGATCTTTTAAAAGAAGTTCATTCTAGTAGAAAACGTTCACATCTTCAAAAAAACTTTATACCTATCAATAATTAGCTTAGCTAATAGATGCACAGTTTTCTGTAATTTTTGTTTTTGTTATTAAAATGAACAGTTGAGACCACTTTCGCTAGTCGAAAAGTGAAATAAACCATTAGTCATTTGCAAATATGTACCTTAGTTCAGCCCATCGGTAGATTAATATGACATTGTGTGTGTGTGAAGCAGAAACTATTTAGAAATATGGATTGCTCTTCATCTGAGTGCACTATGCAGAATCTCATGGCAATGCTTGTTTTTAAAAAAGGATGTTAAAATCTGGCGAAAACCAAGCTCTTCAAAAACCAGGGTTTTCCGCCTGTTTTCACCTATTATTAAAAAATTCACGATTTACTCAAAAAACTGTTAAAAGAACAGCCACCCGTCTTATATTTTCGCTTCGATAATAGATTGGAACACTGTAGTATCCAGTATCTAGTAATCGAGTCCGAGTATCTAGAGTAGGACTCGAACTCGATGCATGCCTATGTATATCTAGCTCTTATTATTATTAAGTAACATTTCATAGATCACGTTCTAACATAAATCCCATGAAAATACATCTTGCCTAAAATAAATGACTCTCATGTAATATCCAGAATAGAAATATGTGCTTGTGGCAAACAATATGAAAAGAGTAAGAGACGGTGACTGCAAATACTTCATATGTCTAGTTTTTACATCGATGTCGATGGCGTGATTCAATCTGATAAGTGTGGATTCAAACATCTGTCCACTAAGCTTTTTTCTTTATTTTCCTAGCAACTTTTCACCGACTTTTTCTTCGACGGAAGCCATCATCAATTTTCTAAAGGCAAAAGGTAATCATTGATGACTATTATTGTTCAGAAGTTGATGATATACATATTACCATCATATAAAAAATAATCATCAGTACAACAAACTGTGGATAAAATGAAATCAATTTCTTTTGTTGGTCAATCACATTTTTTCAATAATGACTTAAAGTCGTCGACAAATAATTTATTTTTCACATCTGGATCCAGTATATCAGATGCTTCTTGTAATTGTTCTTTATCTTCTTCCATCGGTTGCCAATATTCATGAACAATATTAAGAAAGTCGCTTACATTTGGGTACTTCCGCACAAGTCCGCCCAGTATTACATGAGATAAAAGCCGGGAAGGTTTGAATATATGCAATCGATAGTCCTACTAAAGATATGTAAAGATCCCTGTCGCTTCATGGAAAAACTATTCCGAACGCGGTTTTCCTCTGTCAGAAGTTCTGAATTGAAGCGTTTTTAGGGCTGCCAGAACAGCGAAATCTGACCTTATCTAATACTATCAAGCGTTGCCGTACTGCTAGCTGGAAAGAGCATACAACGTTACATATTTCTATCCGCAAATGAGATTTTCTCCTCTGATACTCGGAAAGAATTTTTGACTGGAGGGCCTTATCTGCATTAGTAGTTATCACTCGTTTTATATCATATTGGACGAGCTGAAAATCTAATAAAACATAACTTTATTTATATTCAAATGAAAGCGGCTTCCAATGTTGTTCTTGTGACGCAACAATGAAGTCTCTGCCACTTTTTTCTTCTTCATGGTAAGCATAGCCGTGAGATCTGCTTTGGCCCTTCCTAGCCTCCTCCCTCGAAAACTGCACGTCAGTTCTTCAAGATCTCGTTAGCCCACACACTACTGGACTAGTGCTGTAATGCCGGAGAAATTATGATTTATCCCATAGCCATAGAATCCCCGAGCCTATAGTGCTAAAAACTCGCTATTATTGGCCGAAACTGATAAGTGCCATATACTATTCGTTGGGTCATTTTTTTAAATGTCTTTTTGTCTCAAAAAAGAAAATGTGCAAGTGAATAGATGCGCAGGACGTCGAAAACAGTGTAGTTAATTGCCTATTTAACGCTAGTTAATAGCTGATGAAATAGGCATTTCTTTTCTTTTCATCGAGAAGCATAATATGAATGTTTCGCTTTTTACATTGATTTCATTATATAGTCCTTTTAACTAGTTTCCCTTTATTATATTGTTTTGAGACAGAAACATCTTTTTCCAGAAGTATGATACTTACGATATAATTGATGAGAAATTTTAGATTATACTGCTTTCTAGGATTTTATAGAACCCCTACGCGGCGTATACGCGATATTTGTATACGCTTCATTCCAGTGTGAAGTCGAAAATACTTCTGACCATACCGTCTATGTGAATAACAAGAAGCTAATTCGGTACAGTTCAGCTGTACTCGATAATTTCAGAGAAAGCTTGATTATTCAGACATGATTGCAAAAGTCTAATTCGAGAAAATATTCATAGATGGAGAAAAGTTGCCCTTTCATTTTATGGTGTATTGCGAATAGAGAATTGCCAGTACCGTTCGACACTTTAAACTGTTAAAAATTTTGTAAATCACTTGTCCAAAAATGCCTGTCTCATTAGCTACCTGCATAACTCGATGCGGGCTACAAAATTAGCATAATGGGACCTTGCTGGTTTGAAATTCAAGTAAATCTGAGAGGACCCGCATAGAAATACCCGATTTTATTGTTATTCTACATTGTCAGAAAAAAGAATGTTACACTACATTTTTTAGTAATTTCGATTTTTCTGCTGAACTAAAAACTATTTCAAGCTGATTTTTTTCCAATGTTTTTATTGCAAGAAGATAAAAACATTGGAAAAAAATCAGCTTGAAATAGCTTCGAAAACGTTACACTGCAAATTGTGAAAAAAATATCTTTTTCAAGAAAGTTTCTCTTATTTTCCTAAACATTGCACAGACGAAGTAATAACGTCGCTTTTTATTATTAACGTCATCTACTTGTAGGTATCGACAAGCGCCATATAAGACGATAAATATGTATCTGAAAGGAGTCATTTTTCAGTCATCTCATCCCCCCTCCCCTACCAGTTTTGTAGGTCATGTATGCACTTCTTATTCCAAAACGAGATAGTATGGTTAGCTTTAAAAAAACATTCGGAAGTTGTCTTGGTTCTCTCTGAAGCAGAAAAGTTTTTAACAATTCTGAAGGAATGCAATTCTTGAAAACGTTAAGAAGGTACGACAAAACAAAATAGACTCTCGTTCGATGAACCAAATTCTGAGTATTTTAGCCATCTCACTTTTCCAAAAATCGCATTTTGATTATTACCGAAAAATTTAAGGGCAAAATTTGTCTTGACTAACCTTCAGTTTTTGGCATCCGACTCCACGAAAATGTTTACTTTTTCTAACTTTAGACCCCATATTCGTGATCAGCACAAAATTCTGAGTCAGAAAAGGTATGTTTCGAAAAATTTAGAGGAAAAAATTTTTCAATGTTCCAAGGTGCCCTTAAATTTTTCGATAAAAATCAAAATGCGATTTTTGGAAAAGTGAGACGGCTAAAATACTCAGAATTTTACGCTGATTCCGAATATGTAAGTTTCATTGAGTTTTAGTCAACAGGAAGTTAAAACTGGAATTTGTCGTCTCAGGGTATCACCTGAAAAATATTTCTCATAGGTCAACACAGCATTTTTAAGGTTTCTAACCATGATATTCGCCACCAGTATACTTAATTACATACATACTTGCATTCAAATGTGAAAAAAGAATTTTCAATTTTCATTTGGTGACCCCTGACAATATTTTTTTTGCAGTTTTATTCAGAATTGAATGCTGATTCCAAACATGCTTAAATTCCTCAAAAAAATTGTAGTTAATAAAACGGCCTTATCGTTACTACCCCTTTATTTAACTTGTGATCCTCTTGAAAGAAATAAAGTTCTTATTTATTTCTAAATCGAAATAACCAACTATTAATAAAAAGATAAAACGAAAACAATGTATGCTCTTCTAAAAGTATAGTCTAAAAAACATAAGAGCGTTCTTAACGATTAAACAGAGGTTATACGTCTTAATTTTTCTCTTTCTCTACGTGTTTGAAATAATTGCCATTCGCTTAGTTGTCCAAAAATAACATTTAATTCTTCTTGTATTTCATTATAGAAAGACTTGAATATTGTACCCATATCGGACTTCTTGTTATCAGATGAAATGTTTTGAATAGAGTTTTTACTTTCCTTTAGAGGAATATCTTCTATAAGAACAAAATCATCGTCATCCATAGTCTGCTGTCGTTTCGGATCAAGAGAACTATAACGATACCATTCAGGTTTATTTGACCATACATTCGAATGTTCTTTTAAGTTTTCCTTATTATCATAATCATACACTTTACTACCTGAACTAACAGCATAATCTTTCTCTCTTGGTGATTGATCACGTTTTATTTGATCGACAACATTCTAAATACAGGCGATGGTAGGTAAAATTGATAAAAATATTCCAACAAATCATGAGCTTAACACAACAGAATGTTGTTATGGATGAACCAGTATCTAGTGCATTACATGATAGCACAACAATCAATGTCATAGCACCACCTGGAGATGGTGTACGTCACTACTTTTCGAAAGATAAAGCTAACATTTAATATGCTGGCTTACGAATATAGTGTGAGGTTTAGGACATATCTGTCTGAAATGGCGATATCAAAATGAACAAATTTCATACTTGAAAAGCTAGCTCAAACTACTGGCACATGTCACCTGATGTTCAAGTATTTTATTTTTTATTGTTTATTTAGGCAACGTAGATAATCGAGGGAAAGATATTCAGAAATATGACTATAGTGAGTGCATACCCGGGAATATATAATTTTCATCATTGAGTATGCAAGTTTTCATTTTGAGAATGTTTAAATGCAAGGAAGCAAAGAATGAAGAAAGAATTAAAATCTGCTTATAAACATGTTAGTATTTTCCATTCTTTTTCTTTCGTTATGTGTAACTATTATGTGATTATGTCATCTATATTTGCTAACTGTCGTCGTTAGTGGTGACGTTAAACGTGATAGAAACCGTGAAAATTTATCTTTACGTGATTATTCTTATCATGCAACCGAGCAATTGTTTTTCGGACAATTGCTAAACGTACTGCATCTGTACTGCATCTCCGTGTAACCATTATAACCTATTATCAACGCGAACCTGTTCCTTCAGGGGTCAATAGCGAATGTCCCAGAATAAATTGTACTTTTTCGTTCATTTTTCTCTCATTTCCTATTCGTAAATTTCCTTTATATGTCAAAAGATACAGAATTTCCAGCTATACTAAACTATCGACTTTATTTGTCAAATAAGTTTTTCTTGTCGGTGCAGAACTTAAAAGATTCACATCTACTCAATCATTCAACTCCGATGGTTAAAATAACGAAAAACTGATGAAAATTTTTTGGTAAAGATTCCGCTAAAAATTTCAAATATGTCACAAAATTCTCTGTAAAATTCTGCATCTTTGGGTACATTTTCAGACTTCTAGAAGAAATAATTAGGAGAAACAGTCTTGAAACAAGTTTAAAAAAATGTGAAAACACCGAAAAAAGTCCTTTTCTGATAAATCTATGTCGTTGTTATTTGTTAGTTCGAAACAACCTAAATGTTTTCACTGTTCAATTTTACAGTTACACCATTTTGTTCAGAATCAAATTCTACAGCCGATGGCATAATAATAAATCTTTCATAGAGCAAATCTGGCTTTTGAAAACATGTTTTTTCAAAGTGCACCCAAAATACTGACAGATACCAATTTCAAGACGTTTTCTACTGATCGATAGCGCCAGAAGCCTTGAAAAGGTCGCAGAGGAAACTTTATTTGAAAAACAAAATCGACAGTTTTGTAGAGCTGAAAATTCTATCTTTTGGCATATAAAGGAAACATTTTTCGCATAGAAAGTGATAGAAAAATGCACTAAGAGTTCGTGCAATTTATTCTGGAACACTCGTTAGAATGCAAAGTACAGATGAGAATGAATGCGTTTATTTCTACTTTTATTTGTTCGTGGCCGAAATTCGAATGCATTTAACACATACACGTACACACGCCAAAAACCTATCTTTGAAAGTATAAGTCTGATCTTGACAAAAATTTCAGGGTATGTTGGATGGTTTTTCTTTGCTTAAGGGGGTGTCCCCATTTAGATTTTTCTCTAACGTTCCCAGTTTGTAGAGGACACTTCGAAGTATATGTCCTGAAGTTTTTTCGGCTTACTGACGTTATTTGGCTGAGAAAAAAATTAATTACTTAAAAAAATATTGTTAACTTTTTGAACACGGAATTATTACTAAAAAAATTTCTGCCCATTCTCCATTCATCACAAAAGCTTGGTTCTTAACTAGATCGATAGAGAAATGTGTGAAGAATATTTATTACGAGAACGTATGCAAGAATTTTTGTTCTTTCCTTCCTGGTATTGACTGATTAGTACTAATTAACGTTACTTTAGCCTACTCTACTAGCATAAAGTCTTATTTGTAAAATAGCAACGCAACGAAAAGATTCAAGCAATATCTCATCAGACAGAGAATTTCACGGCCTACAATATGGACTACCTTAAGCATTTTAGAATTCGTTTTTGGTAGCTCGGTAAGTCTGTAAGTCGAAAACTTAAGAATATTGTTTAAGTAATTAATTTTTTTCTCAACCAGATAATTTCATTAAGCCGAAAAAACTTCCGAACATATACTTCGAAGTGTCCTCTACAAATTGGGAAGGCTTGAAGAAAAAATCCCAAACTTGAAAATATCGCTGATTTTTGACACACCGAAGATTTTTTTACCTAACCGTACGGCTAGTTTCGCCTGAACCAAGCATTTTGGAGCAAAACTCTGAGTGCAAAAGTTGTTCAGAATCGAATTTTGGAGTCTCCGGCCAGAGCTTTTTTTTTTTCTGTTTCTGACTTTTAAATTAAATTTTAGGGTTTTTAAAATTTTAAAATTTCATATTTTTTAATTTAAAAATCAAAAACAAAAAATTTTAAAAAAAGCTCTCGTGAGAGACTCCAAAATTCGATTCGGAACAACTTTTGCACTCAGAATTTTGCTTCAAAATGCTTGCTTCGCGCGGAACCAGCCATAAGGCGAGGTGAAAAATACTCTTAGCTCTAAAGTTTCCTCGGGAAGGCGAACGCTAAATTTCTGCGGCAAACTTCATTCGGGAACGATGAAAAGAGTTTCTCCGTATACAGATTAATGTTCTCTCTCGAACTACGCTAGAATCAACTCTTCGTATCAAAAAATGAAGTTTTTATTGAAGTTTTAAAAATAGGGCAAAAAATCCGAAAAAAACTTAAAAACTATAAATCCTGGAACCGAAAGCTTTGTTGGGACAGGAAGTGTCCTCCACAAACTGCTGGAAAAAAACGGGTGGGGTTTAGTTCGATTAAAGCGCACCTTCATGGGGAAAAACTCGAAATACTGAGTATACGTCAAAAATCGAGAAAACACTATGTTGGCGAAAATTGGCTCTACTTTTTTCCCGTTTTGTTTTAGAGCTCTGACAGTTTCTTTTTCTGAATCCTTGAGTGAAACTGATTCTGAAAATGTGTTTTAGAAATTTTTAGCACCTTGTCTTCACCTCGAAAAAAAATTATATATAGGAACACATCATAAATGAACACCTTGCTTTTGAAAACTTTCACAGTTTTTCTGTTGATGCCTAAAAAGTTTTTCTATAGTGTATCAGAATCTCCGTCAGGCATACAATAGAACTATGTATGTAGGTTTTTGAAATTTTTCCTTCTTGCTTAGAAAATTCATTTTTTCTAAATCAGAGACGTAAAACTCAAAGGTCTGTCCGTAATACTCAATTTTCCCGATCAGAACTCAGAATCAGTTCCACTCAAGGATTCAGAAAAAGAAACTGTCAGGCTCTAGAGCAAAACGGGAGAAAAGTAGAACCAATTTTCGCCAACATAGTGTTTTTTCGATTTTTGACGTATGCTCAGTATTTCGAGTTTTTCCCCGTGAAGATGCGCTTTAATCGAACTAAAAAGGTGATATTCTCGATCACCGCATCCCGGTAGAATATGTGTTTCATAGAAAAATAAAATCCTGTGGAAACTTTGAATTAGCAGCATCTTAATTGAAGGGAGTAGAATAGTTGCTGAAAAACCACAAACAACTAATGTTTGCAATTAGTAAAAAGTAGAACCAAATCTTATCTTCAGAGATATCATAATAGGAATACCGACTGTATCTAAGAGTACTAAAATGATGGCTGCCGTAATGACTTTCTCATTGTTTGTACTATATATATGCACGAAACACATATCTATATTCTGCAGTATTAACGACTCTCCTGCATCACCCTCCGTGGATTAAACTTTTAGAAATATAGAGCAAGGCACTGAAAAGCTTAGCAATGGCACAGATCGATAATAAGAGTAGAAATTCAACATAGGAATACTGAATACGTATTCCTATATTCCTACAGTTATTCCAAAACGTTCAAAGAGTGGCGACGGTGGCACAAGGATGTACCATCAGCACTCATACTAAGCATGAATTGTCCGGAGCCTAACGTCTATACACTCTATATTCGCATTATGACAGTCCTCCTCATCTCAGTTTCATCTCTTACTAGATTTTGTGAACGAGTTTGAATAAAACCTTTTATAAATTGCATCTTCTTACCTCATTGCTCAACTTATTTCGTTCTAATAAACCTTCATTGATCTGGTTTATGAGTGAAGGTACAAATGTGAAAAATTCTGCTTCGTTATTTTCGATGCGAAGAATAGTTTGACTAGGTGAATGAGGGGGTGATTTGACATCAAAGCGCGTGCCAAAGGATGCATAACTTGCACCACTGTTGTCTGTTTTGGTGAAACTGTAAAATGCCATTCAGATCTATCACGTTGACTTAATGAAACTATCAGCAGCCACCTGTAGAATAAAACTGTGTAACATTTTTCAGTTACAAGAGTCTAATTGATTCCTTTTTGGTATGAATGTTCGTAAGTTTGTTTTTTGTTGTTCTGATATGTTATTAAATTAACTTTTACTACCGTCATTCATCGGTGTTCAGTCAACCGTATCTTGTTTAGTACATTGAATACGTGGCTGCTTTTCGTGTTCCTGTTCTAACAGACTATCTCATAAAATATTTCTACGCTTGCTCAATTTAACATATCGTTCTGCATCTGTCTGATTGAATGGAATTAAAACTCAAACAAGCCTTCAAAGCAAAATATACCAAGGTTCTAATATCAATCTAAAAATAAATGTTAATTGAGTTTCTGCAAGTAATGAGTTTCGAGCATCCTTTGCTACGTGCTTTGATGTCATGTTACCCTCCAATTAAGGGGGAATCTTCTCATCTAGGTTTTCGCTGATTTTGTAGAGCACACTTTGAAACCTCGGAATCAAAAATTTGTTTCATTTCAAGTTTTTCAGAAAAATATCTGAAGTTACTTAGTGGTTTTTGCTCATTTTTTAAGATATCTATAAAATTTTTGTTTTTTTGAGGTGAAACGCTAATTGTTGCGTCAATCGATTGGGCACATCGAGATGTGTCCAGGAAATATCTTCATTGTTTTCTGACCCAGTTTGACTGAGATATTTGTGTTTGATCTGGCCGAATAAATTTCAGAGCAAAAAGTAACTCTGAAAAATCTTGAGCACGATTTCGCTTCAGGGAAGCATTGTTGAACAAACGTTTTGTTACGAATATTATTTAGAATCAAATTTTACACCGGATGAGAGGAGAATGAAAACTCGTTTTTAAATCCAAAACACTGTTTTTAACAGTCAAATTTTTGTAAATTTTGATTTATAAATAGAGTTTCCAAAATTTGAAAATTCCAAAATGCTTCCCTGAAGTGAAATTGTGCTCAAGGTGTTTTAGAGATACTTTTTGCTCTGAAATTTATCGACCAGATCAAACTTCACCAGAAAAATTCTTTTTCGTTCTCGAGAAAATTGACTTTTACTGACTCTTAGGTAGTTTTCTATTGAGTCGGCTCATTTAAAACTTTTTAATAGGCATGCACCGAGACGAGAAGTATCGAGAAGCCTCGATACTGTAGTCTCGAGTCTCGAACGTTTCGATATGACTAGGGATGCAACGGTAACGGTAACCGCACCTTACCAATTACCGGTCCAACCGCACCTTACCTATTACCGTTACCGGTCCAACCGGTTCTTATCGGTAGCAATAAACTTGAAAAACAAATGGAATATTTGCTACATAATACAACACACAAAGTAAATGTTTCTTTAATCACAGTTCTCTGTTAATCAATATAACGTTGAAGAAAAACACTTTTTAACATGGAACAATCAGTGTAACTCAAACTAGCTTAAGAACTCACATGTGAATGCTTGTTTAAAAATAGATTATATCTAGCACGAGCAAGAGAGAAAATAGATGGACTATTAGAGCTGCGACACAAATAGCGATTTTCTTTTCTTTTCTCTTTTCTACTTTGTTTTCTTATTCCCGTTATCACTCTATTCAGTTAGTTAACCGATTAGATCCATAACGGTAATCGGTCAGAACCGGTTGGACCGGTAACGGTAATCGGTCAGAACCGGTTAGACCGGTAACGGTAATCGGTCAGAACCGGTAACCGTTAAACCGGTTAGACCGATTGTCAACCGTTACCGTTGCATCCCTAGATATGACTGAAGTTTTTTTGGTAGCTACTCTGATTACTTGTATAGGA